TATAAGCTTATATACACACTTTTGAATCCGTTCCTGGAACCTGAACCAGTCGACCGAGCAATGAGTGTAAGTTTCTTGCTCAAGGAAACAACAACTTGCCCCTGACGGGGTTTGAACCCATGCGACAAGCAATAATTAGATTACTAGTCTGACGTGTTAACCACTCGGCTATGCCCCCACTTAACATATCATTATATATATCATTATATAATATTACATCCTTATTTTTTGTGGCAGCGCCTGTCTAAATTTGTATAAATATATCTGAATTCACAGCAAAAACCTCTATAATGAATATTTCTGAATTAACTAAATAAATTTATTGAAACTAAAAATTTCTGAATCTTTTCTGAATATTTCTGAAATAGAAAATACTTTTCAGTCATCTAAAAGTATCTGAATCTTTGGTGCAATTATTTCTAAATTAGATAAGAACTAAAATTTCAGATTTCTGAATCTTTGCTGAAAATTTCTGAATTACATGTACATTAAAGATTAACTTTTCAGAAATATGAAAAGCATGTTCAAATGAATATTAGGTATGACACTCTGTCATTAACGTAAATCAATGTTCAGATACAAAATATCTAAGTTTCTACATTGTGAATCAAATTTTGGGAAACAAATTTTATTTCACCCTATATGAAAGTTACCAATGGAACATTATGAATTATATCAAATTGTTGTTTTTTTTTTAGAAAATGGGACTTTTAAAACAATTGAGCTTTGGCTTGAGTCATTAAGTCATAACATACTTAAACAGTCAAGAGCAATTAGTGATCACATGTTGCCTGATGATAGCCAATTAAGCAGTTGTATTGAGGGGTGATATTGACCAATTTGTTCCCTATGTCACAGTTTCTTTGTAGCATGTTGCAGCTACTGTGTAGCAGGAGACACAAAAAACATTAACAGACCAAAATGCTTTTTTTATTCAAGGGCCATAAGTCAGCCTAAATACATTCAACCAGAAAACCCCTATAATATGCACAAGTACATCGGAGTTAACAATATATATGCCATTTTTTCCAAAGAATTGCTTCACTTTATAAGCAGCTGCATTAAACAAGCTTTAAAATTTATCTTTCCAGACATAATTTCTAGCCTATCAGTATCCGGTTTACTAAGGGCACACTTAAAATCCTATACTTAAAAATTACCAAAAAAAAAGGATTCATTATGGGTGTCCGTTTGACCCTTGAAATGACTCTTTGACCCTTCAAATTTCCATAAGGCCTGATTTGACACTCAAGATTTTAACTGGAGGGTCAAATTTTCTTAAAATAATGGGGATTTGACCTTGTAGTTGGTAAAACTTAAAAATGACCTCAGGATTTCATGGCTAGTGAACACCCTGTTCATGAAACGTGCACCAACAAAGATGTCCTTCTTTATGGTAATGGTACTATAATTTATATGGTGCTTTATATGATTATTCAAATATGTAAACTTTTCTGATGAAATATATAAGGTGACACTGGTGTGAGCAGTTATAAATATGTTGTATAATATATTCAGACTGGTCAGTCACATATTTTAACACTTTTCCTGTCGTCTGAGTTACTTTAAAACATGACTTAACATAAAATGCATGCACCAATGAATTTATAAATGCATGATCATGTACTACAAATTTCTCAAAATAATTTTCCTTGGGATGTGCTGGAACAGTCCCTTGTATAATTATATAGTATCTTAAAAATCAAAAAAAGATACCGTAATACGATAATACATGTATTGCATGTTTTTTAGTATAGATAGTGAATTTATATTTTGATAATTTCACAGAGAAATTATGAAATATAATTTTCACAGTAGGAGGGTTTGATTGAATACAGATGAAAAGAAAATATGAGCCACGTCATGACAAAATCAACATAGTGAGTTTGCGACCAGCATGGATCCAGACCAGCCTGTGCGTCCGCGCGGTCTGATCAGGATCCATGCTTTTCGCCATCAGTTTCTCTACTTGTAATAGGGTTTGTAAGCGAACAGCATGGACCCTGATCAGACTGCGCAGATGCACAGACTTGTCTTGATCCATAATGGTCGCAAACGCACTATGTTCGTTTTGTCATGACGCAGCTCATATAACTTAACTAATAGGAAGTATATCATCAGAAATTATTTACACACTCTGTCATAAGTAAAATGTTCTTGTTTCAATGGAAGCACATGAAAATGACTGTGCACTTATCAATTGTTATAAATGTTACAAATTCTGTGTAATTTTACAAAATTATTTTTCAATAAGAATATTGTTTGTATGTTTGCCTGCTTCGACCAATAAGGAGTTCAACTCATCACCATAGTGCAGTCACTAACAAGTTATGTCCTTCTAAATCTAATAGGAGTTAACCAGTTATTGCATTAAGGGTATTCTGGCAGACCTGAGATCAAACTTAAAATACTCTATTATAAATTAATAAACATTTAGACAACTATTAAGTGCATGATACCATGAATTCATAAATTAAGGAAACTAAACATTTCAACTTTTTAAAATTTTCAAATTTTGAGACACCCATATGCCAAAGTTTATAAACTACAAATATTTTATTGTATATGCACTCAGTCACGGGTATAGGTAGTTCATTATTCAAAATCAAATTTACTGCCTTCAATATTAAATGACATTTTCTTGTGAATTGAATCGGGCATCATAAAAGTCATAACTTATGTACCCTAAATGGTTTATATGGTAGTAATAGTATACTGTTGATTATCCAAAGTCGCTCCCTATAGTAGTTATCATTATGCATAGTCACATGCACAAGTATAGCTAGTGTATTATATCTTGTCTTCTGAATCAGTTTATGCGCAAGTATAGTAAGTGCACGATAGCATGTCTCTTGGTTCATTTCATGGGCAAATACAGCTATAATGCACCATGTCTGAAATGCTGTTCATTTATCAAAGAAATTTATGATTTAAATAAAATTTGGTCCTTTACTAAGATTTGGTTGTACATGTATTTTAAGCAAGCTGCAATTTAAAGAAATCATTTATTTAAAAAATATTAAGGATATAAATTTAATTGATCCTTCAAAAATCCAAATTGAAAAGCCCACTTAATTTGCCCCAAACTACTTTACACAACTCTTATGCAGTAACCTTCTTGAACCTGTTACAAATTTTATGCAATTTCAAATAAGACATTTTTTTGTAAAATCTTAAACTGAAAAAATTTAAAAAGTTAAACCATCAACAGTGAGTCATCATAAATCTGGGAAATATGATAATATAACAGAACAAGAAACTGAAATAATGCCCCTTGTTAAAGTTTCTTTTTTTGGTTTCAACATTCCACAAGCCCCTTTTAAGGTGTTATTTGTGCCGTGTGGCGGCTGTAAAAAGTCTCCCCGTACATTTAATCAGTGATGTTATATTTCCGATCCTTGAAGATCGTTTTGCACAACATTATTGTTGTGTAAACATAATATGTGGTACTTTTAGTTTCTTCTTTTTGGCCATTTTCAACTTGGGTGGTTCCAGTATTCCTACTTGAATACTGTATAATCACCCTTAGACTGCTTTTTAAATTTGTCTTTTGACATCTTATCTGTGATATGCAGGCTTCATAACCTCGGATCCCCTTTCAAAATTCCATTTCATTTAGTTCCACCCATTGTTTTCTCGTTTAGGGCAAAACCATTCTTTCACTTGGGGACCATACGCCGCTTTTCATGGAATGGCACTACTGTGTCACATTGAAGGTTCCATGATAATCGCCGTATGAACACATCTGCGGATGTCTCTAAATTCAAAATTTTACCATTTTTTAGTGTTTAAATGTTGAATTCTTCTTAAGCCGGTGCTAGGGGGCGTGGACGGTACCTTGCACTTTCCAGTACCGTCCATGAACAGGCTCAATCAAACCGAGTCTGCAACATTTTCAATTTTATTGTGTTGGACTTTCTTTAGGGATTCTGTTTTACTCTATTTTATTTTGTGGTTTCAACATTCCACCAGCCTCGTTTAAAGTTTATTTTTTGGTTCCAACATGCCACCTGAGATGATCAATTTATGAACAGAAAAGATACCGTTTCACAATGATCAGATTGGCATGTAAAAAGATAAGCAGTTTTTTGCTAATAAAAATCAGCGTAAATAAGAGAAATACATGTAAAAGTCAAATGGTGTAAGACTTAAACAGTGTAATTATATCAGATTGATGTTACAGCTTTTACCCTAACTGATTGGTTGACTGTCAACCTGGGGACCAATAATATTACATAAGCTTATTTTGCCAGTAGCAGCAGCTGCTTGTCCCATTACAAGAAGTCCTTACAGTAAAAGCCCAAAAGGTTACAATTTTTTAAGCAGATATTTGTTTGTTTTTATTTTCCCCTTATTGCAAGCATCTCACAGACAAGGCACAGCACATCAGCAGAAGATTTGTGGCTTGGCAGATAAACAACTTCAAACTACCCAGTTTTCACATAACCAATGAAAATACGATCAGTACATGTGATGGGATTGACAAATATGCATTTAATTTGGATTTTAAAGGCGTTTTAAGCTCCACTCCCCAAGTGTCTGTGACTGTAATGGGTGGATGGACCCTCATTAAACATAGAGTTCATATATATACATTTGCAAGTACGATCTAATAATATAGTCCGCAAGCTGTCCACAAGAACAACTGACTTATAGGGAAGTGTAACTCTCAGAAATTAAGTTGAGTCAGTACTTATTTTAAAATTTTCACCAAAACTACATTGTACTGGTTTTGTCAAGATTAAAAGACAGACATATCCATGTAAGATATTTAATGGGTTAAATGTGACTTTAAAAGTAGGCCTACCAAGTTTCAAAGATACAAAAATTTGTCAAATTAAGCCAGTGTTTTGATAGATTACATGTAAACTGGTAAAACTTTAAAAGGATTATTGCAGCTGCAGTACTGTTCAATACGGGATAAATTTATTCAGTCACATAATCTGTTATGAATAATTATTTCATTTAAATTTAATATGCAAAACATGTTTCCGACTTACCATATCTAATCTTTATTAACGTTTCATACCAGGAAAAAAGTTGTTTAAAAGTTGTCAATCTCTTTCATGTGATCATGTGATATGTCCCAAAAATAAACATATCACAAAACGGCTTTTACGACATTGTGTCCTACATTTTAACCTTTCCAAATAATGTCCTATTAAAGATTTTATGTTAATTTGATTGAACTATTAATACTTGAGCTTTTATTCATAAGGTCAAGTTGATTTTTTACCGTGGAATTTTCATTCAAAGTGCTATTTAAAATTAATTCAAGCACAATTACAGACTTACTTCCCTTTGTTTAAATTTGCCATTTGCAGGTCAGCCGACACTATAAGTTTGATCTCAGCGAGGTTGGAGGGTCGGAACGTGAACCCGTAAAGTGTTACTTTTAAAAATTACTTTTGAAAATGCAAACTTGTACAGTATGACTATATACATGTATGCCTAACATTTTTTATTGTATCCGTGCATAGCACATATAAAATGACATAATATGCCTCTAAAACCCGCTTTTAAATAACAAGATTACATGTAGATTTAAAAGTATAATATAATGTATACAAGAAAAGCATTGATGCAAAGCATCAAAGGGCGTCCAAACAGCAGGTGCAGATGAACTAGTAGATATATGATGACAAGATATTCTTATAAACTTTTCAATGGTTCATTGGGTTTTACCAGAATTGTATATCACTTTTGAATGAACGGACGAAAGACATTGTTCATTATTTATAACTTTGATCGGCATGCTAGAAATTAGAATATTTCTTGTTATTTCTTTATGATCGTGGTTATTAATAGCAACGGATATACATGTATACAATCATTTATAATCCATATGTGTAACGCATGATCAACACCATACTTGTGTAATTGTCCCTAAAATATTATGTTATTGCTATTAACGAGGACCCCCTCTTAAGGTATCTGTTCACACTAAGTAACAATATGACACTTGTTATATGACCATGTTGATCATGTTGAGCATAATTGTTTATTATACAATAAATGTAATTTCTATTTTAATAAAAAAAAATACAGATTTTATGAATATTGTTTTCTTTTCTTTTTGTGTGTGTGTGTTTTATGCGCTATTTTAATACTGAGTTTTTACGTTTAGTACTATTTTAAGAATTCAATTGTCATAATGATCGACGATTATAAGTCAAAACTTAACTGGAAAAAGTCAGTAAATCATGGTTAATCTTTCAATTTATAATATTGTTTATTCTTAAACCATATACATGTACATTTGTATTTTTCTTTATCATTTTTTAAATTATCAATCAATTGAATAATTCATAAAATCTGATTTGTAACTTTGAATAATTCCTCGGAATCTTTACTAAACACGAATAACAAATTATATAAAATGTTTTAAAGTTGATAGTGTCATATTAATGCCATAAAAATGTACATTTTTTCTCAATTATTGTACATATTTATTGTTTTTATCTCATATAGATAAAATATAACATGCGATTTGTGTTGTTGGTTTTTTTTTCGAATTGTATGTTTATGTATAATAATAATCAATCAATTCGAGAGTTGATCTGTGTTTATTAATTATTTTAACCAAACTAAGTGACAAACATTCATTTTGAAAAAAAAGCTTATTTATCTGTAAAATATTTGTTCTGTTCTGTAACGATATCTACTCCAAAACCGGTAGAGACCGGACAATAAACGTGTGGTACTATTCGCCGGTCATTAGTTAATCCCGGGAGAGACCGGGAATTACCTAGGAGTACATCCCTCTATAAATAGATTTTCGGAATATTAAGGTCATCAACTCATCATTCTATTAACAGCTTTCGGAATAACATACCATAATAACCCACTGTGTACTACAAAATGATAAGCAAAAATACCCCGAAGAGCGCGATTTATTGACGGAAAAGGTTATTTCATTTGAAAATGTTAACGTTTGCATTGCGAAATTCTCCAGTTCGCCATTCATTGTACATATCGCGACTAATTAACAATCAAGCACCCTCATACCGATCGGAATGATCGGCTTTTATTATTGGCAACTATAAAAGGCTCGAGAAGTTGCTGTCGCCCTTTCACAAAATCTCATTTCATTCCAATAGGCGCCGCGCTTCGGCGCGGACGCCAATGATGCAAAAGTTATTGTTTGATTTTTAAAAAAGTATACTTCCTAAATGCTTGTATGAAATAAATATGGTAATGTATTGCCTAAAAAGCGATGGCGAATGCACAAAATCATTTCTAAACGGATAAAACCCTACTTAGAACAGATACAGTATCTGTAGAATCCGGCGTCCCACAGGGCTCAGTCCTTGGCCCGAGTCTGTTCCTTTTCTACATAAATGACATCCCAGAAGGTCTCAACGCAGTCGTCCGACTATTTGCAGATGATACGCTGGCCTATCTTGCCATCACAAACAAGTCTGACTGTTCCACCCTACAAGCTGACCTCGATAAACTAGCTGTCTGGGAAGAGAAATGGAAAATGTCATTCCATCCAGACAAATGCCAAGTCCTCACCATCTCCAAGAAAAGAAGCCCCATCTGAAATAACTGTACACTCTTCATGGTCATACTCTAGAGCACGCCACATCAGCTAAATACCTTGGATGCACCCTGAATAACAACCTAGACTGGGGCAAACATATACATAACATTTGTAACAAAGCCAACCGTACCACCAGCTTCCTGCGAAGAAACCTCAACATCGCCTCTACTTCCACCAAAGAAACGGCCTACAAAGCTCTAGTCCGCCCCACAGTGGAGTATGCGAGCACTGTCTGGGACCCCCACGAGAAGGGAGACATACACCGTCTAGACATGGTCCAACGACGTGCTGCACGGTATGTTAAAAACAAATACCACAACAGGTCCAGCGTCACAGACATGCTTGCAGACCTTGAATGGAAATCATTACAAGAACAACAACAAGGTCGCTCTAGACAATTCACAACTCATACCCTCCAACTCCACATCTACAAGAAATTCACACAACCTAACCTACAAGATACCCTACTGCCGTACACAATACCGTCAACAATACTTCTTCCCACGTACCATCAAAGACTGGAACAGCCTACCTCCAGACGCTACGTCAGCCGGTACAGTTGAGTCATTCCGTACTCATCTGTCCCAATTCTATATCTAAGCCACACTCTTGACCGTTTTTAACCTGCACTGTATATATTCCTCACTATTTTTACTCTTTCTGTCCGTCTTGCGCATTAACCTGGCAGTAAACTTCAGTTAGTTGAAGGTGGCCAGTATATTGGAAGAAGAAGAAGAAGAAGAAGAAGAAGAAGAAAGCAAAATGATATTTTGTTCCGGAACATTTTATTCTGTTTACGTACATTACTCATGTGAATTAAATAAAAGAGACATTCTATTTTACAAATTTTTCGGGAATCAACCATATAATAATCGAACCAATTAATATAATGTTACTGTTGATAAATTTTATTAAAATGGTTCATAAGGTATAGATTTATACCCTTTAATATGACAAAAGTGGATTCACAAAGTTAAACGATTTTAAGTCATGCATGACGCCCCGCGCCCCTTTCATTTACGAACATCTGTTACGTATAAACCCGGCGCCACTCCCTTAAGTGAAGGAAAACATTGGTATCAAATGAAAGGTTACTCCATATAAAGGCTTTCTATGAATGTCTCAGAAATAAAAATAAATTGAATATAAAGATAAAAATGAATTAAGGAGAAGTATTAAAATTTTCGTTTTAAAGTTTATCATGTTTTTTTTTTTTTTCTTAAAAAAAAACACACTCTGAAATTCAGTAAAAAAAGCACGGCGCCCCCTCCTTTTTTAATGTGTACAGATTAACAAAGGGGTTTTATAACCAGAAAAGTTGTTAGGGAGTATTAATCACCAAAAAGTGATAAAAGTGGATAAAATAACCATAAAGTATTGCAAGGGGGATATATCACTATATCCATTTTGACCATATTGAAAATACTTTTGCGCATAAAGGTTTCTGTTATTGCGTTCATTGAACGCCGCTTTTGCTTGTTGGTCTTGTTAATTGATCATATTTCTTACAAACAGTTAGTCGGCTGTCGGGTACTTGGGTTGCCCATGCGAACAGTGCAGACCAATATCCATGTCGGCACATGTAGTCTGATCATTGCCAGCACTGTTTCCTAGTCATTCAATTCATGTTTCGAAATTTTACAGCATAATGATGGATGATTTTATCCAGTTTGAAAAATGGTAAAATATACAGATTTTCAAACTATTTTATAATGTTCAAAGTTAGTTAAACCTGTATACGCTTGATGGCAGATGTTTTGGGACAAAGGGCATAATATAGAGCAAAAAGAGGAAATGTTTCCCAAAGGGAAAAGAAATAAGAGCACCAAAATGTTGTAATATATTATATAAATATTATCACGGATTTTGTAAATTTACACAGTTTAAGATACATTGTGCTATTGTACTGATCAACTGGCATCCGGAAAACAACTTTTATTGTTTGAAATAACTTTTAGAAAAGAAAATGTTTGAATTTGTCAGTTGATATAAACATCTTAACCTTCCTTCTTCCAAGACTTTGTCAAAGCTTATTCAATAACTGTATGTTTTTTTGTTTTTTGCTTTTTGTTTTGTTTTTTTGATAAATGAATTATTAGGAATATGTCCGAGAAATGAATATTTTTTTATTTTTTCTGTAGAAAGGGAAAATATGTCTAAATGTCTTTTATGATGTAGTAATGATGGATTTAATGGATTAGGAACATGTGATGTGCTTATCATCAAAAAATATTGCACTAAATGCAAAATAATTTCTAATAACGGTGGTTACCGTAGCAAAATGTGATGCAAGTGGTATTTCTACGGAATGCCGTTAGGGCCATCGCCTATGAATGTGTTGATCTAAAACGCGATAGTCGATAGTACGATGGTGAAAACGCGAAACCACGAAACTACGATGGTGAAAACGCGAAAGCACGATGATGAAAATGCGATAGTACGATGATGAAATCGCGACAGTACGATACTACGATGATGAAAACGCGATAAACTATCGTGTTTTCACCATCGTACTGTCGCGTTTTCACCATCGTAGTTTCGTGATTTCGCGTTTCATCATCGTACTGTCGAGTATCGCGTTTCAGATCAAACCATTCATAG